ATTTTTTAATGTCCATTCATCCATGGCTTGTAAATTTCGTCTGGTCTTGTGCGTCATCGTCTTATCGTCACAGGGAAAAGGGGGCGTTAACGTCATCATCCTGGTTTACGAAATGAACACTGGACAGTACCCCTATAGAACAGGTCCTGCTGTGGCTCCAGTATTAAAAAAAGTGGTGAAAAAATATACATTTTTCTTGAATTAAGTGTCATTTTTTCCTCCCTTGATTTTCGTTAGATAATTTACCAACAGAATAAGATGATTTAGATATTAATTAAAAAACAAAACAATAAACTTTTCCTGATGATCTTATGTGAAGATCATTGCTTATATCAAGAAATTTGTATTTTTTTTTGTCTGTCTTTGCAGTCTGATACTAAATTCTTACATGTGCTGTCAGAAAAGAGCGTTACGGTTTTGCCGCAGATTTAATGTTTTGCCTCTACAATTCACTTTAATAGTTAACGAGCAGTTACAATCAGCTTTAAGCTCCACCCCTATTAATAAAAGGCTACAGTTTTCATCTGTCAGCTCAACGGTTTGCAACTTTGTGGCTCATTTAATATTCTAAACGATGCACTTGTGCCCTGTTGATTTCATAAATTTTTTGTTTGTTATTCTTGTTTCTAAGCCCCATGAAAACACATTGGCCTCCATGGTAAATTGAATCTAGAACCGCCTCTGAGTGATGAGCTGTATGTTTATCAGGCATCTGCCCAAGTTTGGTTTTTCAGCATCATGTGATGTAAACTGAAACCAAGAAGTGACGGAGAAACCAGAGACGGCTGCTCTGTGTATCCAGGTGACTGATTACCCTTCCAGTTAACTGTTCTGTGTTTTCTGTGTTCGTCCATCAGGCCCTCTGGAGACAGGCCTCCGAGGGGACGTGGCGGCGGACGGGGGGGACGTGGCGGTAGAGGACGCGGCATGGGCCGCGGCGAGGGCTTCGACTCTCGTGGGAAACGGGAATTCGACAGGCACAGCGCCAACGACAAATCGTGAGTGAGCCATGAAGTTTTTAACTGCAAGGAGTCACAAGATCAAAACATGTTGGATGGAAGCAGCTGATGCTTGTAGGCTAATGTTAGCATCTTGAATAAAAATAAAAATATGCTGCCAATCTTGTCAAAAAAGATGACTTTATGTAGTCATCCAGCATAAGTCCATAGGTGCAGTTTTTTTTATATTGTTAAAACACAGTACAGTATTTATTTTGTTTATCTTTTAACTCCTAACTATTATGTTATTCTCATATATTTTTCTAAAGTTCCACATTTTGCTGCTATAAACACCAGAATTTCCCCATTGTGGGACAATAATGGGATTTTTATTCTAAATACCAACTTTAGTTTATTCCGATTTAAGCAGCATTTAACCTTTTTTCTGCTCTTCTTATCATAAATGGTAACTATTTATGGTAGGAACAGAGGTGGCGTCATGCTGTGGGTGTTAGCATCTACAAATTAAGACAGAGTAATCAGTGACTGGACATTTTAAACCGTCTTAGCAGCTTTTTACCTCTGTCAAGGAAGTTATGCATTTAGGAGAGTTTGTGTGTTTGTCTGCGTATAGGATAAGGTGAAAAGTTATGGACAGATTTTAATTATATTTTTATGTGAGGTGCACCTCAGTCCAGGGAAGAATTCGTGAATTTTTTGTGATGATCCAGATCATAAACTTAAAACAGGATTTTTATTTTTTATTTTTTTTTAGAAAATTCTTAAACATTGTGAAATGGTGATAAAACAAGCAGTTCCCCATTAAACCAGAGGGTGGCAGCAGTGAGTATGGACAGCCAAAAGTCTGAGATATTTTACTAGAGAGAAAAACGTTTGTTGGTTTGTTAGAAGGGCCAATTGAAAAATGAATGAATGGATTTTATGGAGCATTTTTACCAATGTTGCTCCTTATGCCAAGGAACAATT